GGAATCGAGTGTGATATTGCCGCTCGCCCCTCTGCGTCTCCTTCTCCGATTACCTCGTGTAATCAACAGCCTTAGCCAATCAGAAGGCATCGAGTCAGGCTGCTGCTACTGCTGCTGCCATAATCAGGAGCATACCCACGCTCAACCCCCGCCTCAACAAAGGGGAAACGAGGCAAGCTTGCTGAGCAAGTTCATTCCTCTACCGTTCCCTGTCCCCTCCCCCCACCTGCATTCTGCCGTCCGCGTAGGACCGGCTTCCGGTGAGTTCCCAATCCACCTTTTGCCCTTCAAAGAAAAAGCAGCTGGCAAGCTGATTAATCATCCGGCGTGACAGTCGGGCGACCAAGGCCTATTGCCTTTACTACCTCGCAAACAGAAGTCTTACGGCCGCCTGTAAAGATCACACAGCATCAATGGTTTCGTAGAGAAGGATCATGTGCCAAAAGCGTGCAACGTTGGGTAAATGTGGGCGTTTCCAGTAAGACAAAGATTTCCCCCTCAAACAATTGCACTGCCCTTTGGTACAGGATGGAAAAGAGAGAGAGAGGGAGACCATTGAGCAATAAAACCGCCTCCATGTGAGATGAATAAGAAGTAGGAGGCGGATTGGACTTCTGAGCACGCAAAACAAAATTAAACAGCGCACGTTTATGCTGCAAACAGTACATGCGTTTCCACTCATCCCTACGATTTCCAAACTGTATGCCGGGGGGGAGGAGGGGCTCACTGGGTGCTCCCCCAACCCCCCCTCCCGCTAACGACAGGACAGGACAGGACAGAAGGGCAACGCCCGTCTTACAACAGGCAACTTTTTGCTACATTTAAAGGAAATTATGAATAGGATTGGTACAGAGTTCAAGGTTTGGATAACGGAAATTCATGTAATTGAGCGTAATGCCATCTTTGGCGTGGTCCTGTCCTGCAAAGAGAGGACCACATAACCGATTCCCGCCATGCAATGCCTGTTCTCCAAACCGGTTTCCCTTCCTGTCGACATTTGAATGTGTATATGGGTCGCATAGCATACCTTGGAGGCCGTATTCTTAAACGTGTAAATATGCGTGATTAGTCATGTAAACAAATGCATCGGTTGAACCAAATTGGGCCCTCTTTTGGGCGTTTTTGCAGACTTCATCTAGGACTTGTTATTAAAATCCCAGGGAGATGGAAATTGACTTAAAGAAGGTACCGTGTAAGTACTTTTACTTTTCTCTGTGGATTGCTGCGCGGACTGGCAAGTTTCGGGATTCCAAGAGCCATGAGTAACCTTCAGGCGAATGCCTTACCGATGAGCTTCTAGGGGTCCATGTTGATATGGCTACGGACTGGGAACAATCATATGACACGTAGGCTCACTTGTACTTAGAGACAAAGCATCGAGCCCGTGATGCAATGGTAGAATGGTAAACTCAATGACCAAAGGTCCCGGGTTCGAATCTCCGGGGGTGCTAGCCCTTGAGATTGGGTATGACTGGCTGATGACGGCTAATAAGCCAGAAATAGC